GAAAAAAAAAGAGAAGACGACATCGATGAGAATCATGCATCGACTATCAAGTTAATCCGCTTCATTCTTAGATTGTTTTCAATTGAGACTATGGTGTCCTATTTCCGGGCCAAGGAATGATGTGGTATTTTTTTTTGTTGCCTGTTGCCCTATGGCAAACAACAAGGAAAAAAAGAAAAGAACGAAGAAAACAACACAATGGTGATAATCATTAGAAACTATTGCGACGTTCTTCTACTTTGGTCTTAAGCATTTCTCTCGTTTTCATATTGACAAAATGTATCAATCGATTACATGTGTCAACTTCCTTGGAGACTTCTCTGTTCTCACACATATATATATACATACTCTGTCTTTCTTCAGTCTACTCTCTTTCTTTTTCCTTACTTACTCTTCATCGAGTTTTCATATAATCGCACACCCCCATAACTTTTTAATTCGCTTTACAGGAAGAACGAGAGAACATAGTGCAGCAGCACGCCGTTTGTTGTTTTTCTTGCATGCGAACGCAAACGGACGTCGAGTCTTCTACATTATAGTAGTACTTCTTTTCTTTCTTCTTCGTTTGCATCGTTGCCGTCATCATCACCATCACCATCATCATCATCATCATCATCGTCGTCGTCGTTATTTTATACTCACCCAGTCACACATACATCATATAAATGATCAGCAGTTGAAAGAGTTGACTAGTAGACAAAAGTCGTCGCAGGTCGACGTTGTTTACGTACGTATATGTTCGATTTTATTTTGTCTCATAACGTGTGCTGGAAACACATACAAATATTGCAAATGTCATCATTACTTCATTTTTATCGAACACGTTCAGCTACAACGATCAATCAACTAAAACCTTTACAATATATACGTTCACGTAGTCCAGATGATGTTTTACATCGAAGAAGGGTAATTTATTCTTAAGATTATAAGTATACCCTACGGGCTGACTTTTTCTTTTTTGTTTTTTTTTTATCCATATTTATTCCTTCTCATCAGTTGTTATTTTTACAAATGTAGTCTATTTGTAAAATCTGAAAGGATTGTAACAAATGACACATTAAGGTTTCTCATTTAGTTGAAGAAGAAGAAAAAAAAGAAGAAAAAAAAAATAGTAGTAATTTTTCCTTTTTAGTTTTCTTTTTCTCACTTGAATGAATATGTTCCCATTTGATATGACTTGTCGTAAAAATGAATTTCAGGTGAATAGTTTGTTGTTTTTCCTTTTCATGCATATAAACTATTAATAAAAAAATATGGGTTATTTTTGTAGCTTAATTCAGTACATAAAAATTGATATGAAAACAGAAAAAAAGAAAATGTAAAACTATAATGGTCTTAATTCTTGATGAATTGAAAAACAATTTTATATGCTCTACTAGAGTGCAAAAATATTATTTCATTAGACATTTTCTCATGTATGTAAATAGTAACAAAAACAATAGTTCGTGACTTTTTCTCATCAATGATTTTATTTTGCATAGCATAGTCGAAATATATCAAGTTATTTTTTAAATTTATAGTTGTGTTAGGTTAAAAAAACCAGATGTACCTATTAATATTATATTACTTGAACAAAAGATAAAAACATGGCTTTTTCTATTCAGAAGAATTAATAATTAAATCAATTGAAAAACGATAGTCATTTCTTACTTGTTATATTTAAGTTGAATATATGCAGAGATTTTCTTTCTTTTTTTTTTGACATTTATATAGTTAACTAATAAATTTTAGTAAATGAATATTTTTTTTTGTTATAAATAGAATAAAGTAATATTTAAGAAGACAGAAAAAAATCTAAAATACTTGAGTTTTATTTATGATGAAATACCTATAATTATTATGAACTATATAAAAGCACTATTATATATACGTTGAAGAGCTATATAGAAAAAAGAAGAGAGGAAACCCATATTGAGCGAGCAATATGATGACGTCATTGGAGGCTCTTATTACATATGATACGTGAGAGAAACATAGAGGCCAGTGATGACGTCGATATATGCGTGTAAGTAAATGTTCAACGTTTCGCTCTCGCATACTCTCTTGAAGAGAGCTATAAAAATAGAATAAGAGCGAGAGAACAAATGCAGTAGACTATATCGATCACTACAACCATCATCACTATAGATGTATAATACTGCACAAGAGATTGTTTAGATGAGTGCCTAAATATAGACGTATGTCGATGAGAATAAATGAAACTTGAGCAAAGACGATTGAGATAGTATTTATTTTTTTGGATATACGTATATTTGTTTTTTTTTTCTAGGAACCAACATCATACGTTAGTGAAGACGACGATTCAAATAATCGTGTATCAACAACAAGTAATTCGACAACAACAGATATGACAAAAAAGAAAAAATCTAAAGCAGCAACTATGTATGTTAAACAGATGTCTTTTTTTTAGCATAAATAAACGATGAATTTCTTTGTATAAATAGTGCAAAAGATTTTAAATCACGTGCTGCTAATTTAATACGACGTCGTACAACAGAAGCAACATTATCAGAAAAAAGTCTTATACCATCACGTGAAGATGTTCAATCATGGGAAGAATCCTTTGACGCACTTTTACGGCATCGATGTAAAGTTTTATTTTTTTTTATTTAATATTTTTACCGTTTAATCATTATTAGATGGACAAGCTTTATTTCGTGCTTTTTTACGTACTGAATTTAGTGAAGAAAATCTTGAATTTTGGCTTGCATGTGATGAATTTCGTACATGTAAAGAACCAAAACGATCAGCTAAAGCAAAAAAAATCTATATGGATTTTATTGCTATTGGTGCCCCAAAACAGGTGAATAATTGTCTTTTTCAAAAATAAAAATAAAAATAATTATTATTATTATTATTAAAAAAAAATATTATTCTTTTTAGGTGAATCTTGATACTGAAACACGTATGTCAACAATAGCTAATATTGATAATCCACCATCAGAAACATTTGATCGAGCTCAAAGACGTATTCAAGGTTTAATGGAAAAAGATTCTTATCAACGTTTTCTTAAATCTGAATTATATATAAATTTATTACGTCGTACAACATATCCAATTCAACGACGAACAACGACAGAAATGGCATCAAAATCATCCTGACACGAGCTAAACAACAGAATATTATTATTTGTTGATTCAGGATGCTTGTTCATTATCTTCTCTTCCGTTAATAGAATATCATGCGGCACTGGCTGCCAATATATACATATATATATATATATATATATATAAAGAAGACGCTGATTGTGTCCGCTCGGTTTCATCCGTGCATCTAGTCAGAAGAGAGGAACAGAACTATATGTATGTTTTTTTACGTAAAAGAAAAACTAGCGAGCCTCAATGGTTACTGTCTCTCTGTATGCCAAAAAAGTTTTCTTTTTTCTCTTTTTCTTTTTTTTTCTTCTTTTCTTTTATACTTGTGTCGTTATATTCTTCTTTACCTGTGTGTATGTATGCATATGAGATCAGAATATGGATGAGAAAAAAAGACTTTAATTGATTAGCGAAAAAAAAAAACAAACCGTTTTATTTTGAATATGCAAATGAATACCTTTCAATTCTATGTATATATAAAAAAAACATTTGAAATCAAGTATTGTAAATAATTTTAGTCATGTCCAATGAAAACATTAATTTAGGTCATTGTATTGAAAAGTAATGTACCTAAAAAAAATATAAAATTGGAATAGTCATAACGACTTTAAAATAACCTTTTACTTGAGAGTCTTATGAGTTTTTAGTAGAATAAACATAAATGACGGAAGTATCTGGTCTTCTAGGGGATTAAATATTACATTGTATAATTCAAAAGTTAATTAACCATAAACAAAATAAAAAATAGCTGCATTCAACTTGAAAATCATGGATCAACAATAGAAAGTCATAGATTATGATGTTGCTAATTCATAGAGGAAAAGAAACAAATGTATTCTGTCAGAAAAAGAGAAAAAAATTTAAATTAAACATCATTTGTTATATTTACTTGTTGAATCTCGTTTTATGAAAAATTCTAATTGACGTTGAAGATTTTTCTGTATAATGACTGATATTTGTGGTAATAAAAGAGATTGATGTAATTACTGCTGATGCTATTCACTTTCATCGAGTTTTATATAGAAATATATAACATGATGGAAAAAAGTTAAATAACAATGAGTTTTTTTTCCGATGATATTAAGCAATCAGCTCAAATCCCGGTAATGATTTTTATAGTCAATGGCGTTTTCTCTTAACTAGACTTCATAGATGAAATATGCTGACAAGGGTTTTAAACACTTGCCATGATAGTCTTCAGGTTTCAGAAGAGTATTTTTTTTAGTATTCCCATTTAAAAGAGTACAAAATGTGGGATCACCACATTTTGTATGGTTGAAATTTAATAAGATCACAAAAACTAAGAAAAATGCTGTGGCTTCTCACTATGTCTAGAGTTTTATGCTCTTCAAATTAGCATTGTTTAAAACAAAAAGAGTCGTCTGGGATCTGAAAACTAGTATGTCCAATTGTTTAGAATATTTTACCGTCATAGCTCATCTATGAAATCTTGATAAGAGAAAGCGCCATTGGTTTTTAAAATAGCTATCTGTATTTGAGCTCGATTCTCAACATTATAGAAAAGAATCAAAAATATGTTGTTGTTGTCAAGCTTTTTTCGATCTCCTTATATATACACAAAGAAATTGTTGTTTTTTTGTTTTGCTTAAAATTGCAAATATTCATATTCTTGATTTAACAACTTGGCTTTTCTATTATATTAATGCGAAAAACAGCTAAAAACTTTTTATTCTAAGGATAGACAACTTGAATAATACATCGAATTCAATACTAAAATCAATCAAGGTCTCACATATTATCGACAGAGTTCGCTATGTGCATACATATATATATATAAGGAATCTATTGGTTACTATAAAAAGCCATCGTATACCTAATTGCTGTCGATGATGATTCGAACAAGACGAAACCTGCAAATATTCTATTTTGCTTTTTGAAAAAAAAGAATTATGTGATACAATGCAATCATTATTTCAACCAACATATCCCTCTCATACGAGTACATTCTTAAATACCTCAAATTCAAATCAGATGTCTTCAAGTTTAACAACTCCATCAACATTTAACGCTATATCAAATGAAATTTTTGATTATTTTGATATACATCGTGAAAAACTTCCATTACTTATTATAGTTTATTTATTAACTATTATTTGGATAATTTATCTTATATTGTATCATTCACGTGTACAAGGTATTATATTATCATATATATTAAAACGTTTTTTTTTAAAAGATGCAATACAAATGAAATTTGATTCATTTTCAATATCATTTATATCGGGTTCCATCATGTTTAGAAATTTACATTATACAACAGGAAGTTATTTTGTTTGTGTTCGAGATGGTTGTTTAACTTTTCGGTATTGGTCTAGAACAAATAAGAAATCAGTAATACGTTTACAAATAAAACTTAATCATGTTGATATACTATTTTCTACTCCAATTCGGTCAAATACATTTTCAGAAACAAATAACTTAAATGATGATTTACATAAAGGATCGATTCATGAGTAAAAACAAAGCAAAGCTAATTGATCGAATATTTGTTTTTTTTTTTTTTTAAGAATTCCAACAAAAGCCGATGATGCACAAAGTGTAAATACAGTTAAAGATAATGAAGAAGGTTTTCTTGTACAAAGTCTTCGAAGTCTTTTTCCAGCTATTGAAATTAAAGTTGATCATGTTAGTTTATTTCCTTTCTGTTTCTTTTTTTTGCTATTGTTTTGCTTTTTATTTTAACAGGGTCGAATATCTATTCGACATGATACATTACCATATAGTTTATCAATACGTTTTAATACAATGAATAGTGTATTTACAAGTGAATCACCATCAAAACATGCTCCACAAATTGATCTAATGACACTTATTTATAGTTTAACATACAAAAATCTTCGAATACAATTCTATCGAAATGAAGCTTATCAAGGAGAACACAAGGACATGTAAGAATTTTCTGTTTTTTAGAAAATTTTTATTGTCTCTGTGAGAACAACTAATTTTTAACTTTTTTTTTTCGGTTTCATTGAAATCGTTACAGTAGGAAGCTGACTACTTTGCTTCTTTTTATATCTGATAAAATACTTTCTCTTTACTTAATCAATGTAACCATTAAATCTGCAAAAAAAACAGTTTTTGTTAAGCTAATATTCATTATCATATGAAGTAGAGAGGTTCATGGCGACAGCTTGTTTTTTGAGCAAAACTATAAAATTACATGAATTTGTACCCGATTTGAATTTACTGACGTCCAACAGTTAGAATCGTAGTGAATCTGATGAATTCAAAGTCGCTGTTTAAATTTAGCACAGTGAATCAAGAGAATTTCAAAAAATATCCTCAAAACCATCCCAGCAGCAGCAGCAGCAATTTGTCACCCACGATAGTCATCTATGATATTAAATGAAAAAATACATGTCTAACTTTGATGGAAAATATCTGAATATTATCTTTCGAAACCTTATGAGAAAATTTGAAATATATTAGTCAGCACACTTGGTGGTTCTCAGCAGTACGCATTTAGATCAAATTACAATTCTAGAGTTCTGTTTAGTAAGAAGAGATAATACTGAAAAATATGAATCAGAGCTGCTGGCAAGCCATTTTTTTGTGACCTCACCTAGTCTAGCTCAGGATACCCGCAGACTAGGTTAAAATTCACAAAATGGTCTGTAAGTCAAACCAGGCGCATCGATGCTTCTGGTTTTATAAATACGTTTAATTCTAAAATTCTACATAAATGTATTGTTCTAGTTTCAGTTGTTTACTTAATTTATTTGCATAGAGATAAGATAATGACAAATTCTAGCACAAAATAGAAAATAAAAACAGAGAGATATTAATCATAAAAATTTTTCAAACAAAATAAGTTTCCATTAGTGCAATTTCTTTGATCATACTGATTCTATTTGGTAAAGTGTCAAAATGTCGAAAGGAAAATGTCGAAAGTGAAAATGTCGAAAAAAAATGTAGAAAAGCAAAATGTCGAAAATTATGAACCCCTGTAAATCCTTGATGAAAAACTTTTTCTAAGATTTGATCAATAGAATGTAATACGGTACACATTCACAGAGCACAACAGTGAGGGTGAGGGCGAAATCTGTGACCAAAAAGGATTTAGATTTTCGACAATCTGCTTTCGACATTTGGCCTTTCGACATTTGGCCTTTCGACATTTGGCCTTTCGACATTTTCTCTTTCGACATTTTTCCTTTCGACCTTTAACCACCTATTCATTCTATTTTGCATTATCGTCAATATGCTATCGTGATGACAAAAACAACACCAGTTACAATATACCATGATTAAATAAAAGAAAGTATCCAGCGAAAACGTAGGGATAAGTTATACTTAGAAAAATAGGCAAGGATATTTATATTTGACAATCAATCTTGGCACCAGCACGATAGTAAAATTTACTATCCGATTATTTTGAGTCTAAAAAAGTTCTTCTGTTAGTCTATGTAAGTCTTACAACACTCAATTGGCGTATGTTTCAAATATTTGTTGCTGGAATCAAACAAGTTCGTTAACGCAGTCTCGAATAATAAGGCACAGTATCAGCAATTGATTTTCAAAACTTAAAAGTCGTTAGATCAACCAATTTGGCTTGCCTGCCAGGTAGCAGGTTTGGTCGACAGCTTCGCTATGAATTCAGATAAGGCTATAATTATAGCATTCTGCTCAGTAAATTTCATTTCGATGGATGACATTGTGTTGTAGTAGAAGAAAAGTATTATATGATATTCATAGTTGAAATACTTCAGTGAGAATCATTAGTTGTTGAGTCAATGATTCGATTACCGAACAAACTACTCAGAAACATCGAATATCAAGAGTGAGCTAGTATGAGTAGATACTCGTACTCGATCGACTATGCAATCTTCCTGAGTACTACAGAGTATATCAACTACTATCCGAATCAGGCTTTTTATACGGATTTATAAGGTAAAATTGGATCTGATCTGGCCCGACATTCATATAGCTCCTTTTTTTCATATGATCGATTTTCGAAACGTGATCATCTTTGATAAATTACCATAGTTTATTGAAGTATTGATCATCTTAGATAAGGAAAAAAAAATCATTTGACTTATCTTTTCCTATGAAAATTGATTTTTTGAGTAGAAATCGTTCGCTTCAAGACAGAAAATATCAATTGAGTAGGAAAGTTATAACGAAGTTGATAAAAAAATAACAAATCATTTGAATCTTCGACTTTATAAATGAATCGCGGTTCAATTAAAATTCATGATGCCAATAGATAGAGAACTATCCGAATTACATACGGGCATCCATTTCATAAAAGCAGCTTATTTTGTTGTTTGTCAATAAGGCCAGTCTCAGACATTTTTAAACGACTCTGGTATTCATTAAAAGGAACATAACTTTGCAATAAAAGTCTGGCGCATTGAAGTAACCAGTCAATTCGTTGAGAGAACTTCCGATAATCATAGATTTCTTTTAAAGCAAGTTATTTTTTCTTCTCAAAACTTCTCAAAGAAAATCTTTTTAAGTATATATCTTATCTCTTTGCTTTTCTTTAATAGTTTACCACCTATTCCAACATCTAAAAAAGTGGATAATACTACATTTCAAATCTTTGAATGTGCTGAAGGTGAACTTGAATATGAACAAGATGTACCTGGTAAAATAATAAAATCTTTTATTTAAAGAAATACATATCATTTTACCTTCTCATTCTAGGCAAAACGATTGAACCATTAGGAAATGATGAAACAATACCTGGTGTAGCATGGGAAATTCGTATTAAATGTAATAAAGGAACAAAAATTGCCTATGGACCTTGGGCTGATCGTCAAAGGTTATTTAAGAAATTTTTTTCAATATCAATCTCAATAAAATTTTTCATATCTAGAGAATTATTATGGCAATATTTTTTACCAACTATATATGAAGAATCTACGATAACATTGGAACCATCAATTGGTCAAACAAGAATATTTAAATCAGTTCATTTTAAATTGTTACTTAATTGTCCAACGACATTAGATCTTTATTTTATGAATAAAATGGTTTTGTTGAAATTTTAAACAATTTTTTTTTTATTATTATTTAATTTTAATATTTTTGTTTCATAGAAACTTCAACAACTTCATATTGAATGTCCTTTAAAAGGTTCACTTATTGATGCAGTACTTCCATTTTCAACAAATCCAAATGGTTTTGATACAGTTTTATCAATGAATGTATTACAACCAATAATTCGTACGAATCTTTCATTTTCATCATTAGCCGAAGCTGAAAATCTTCATGTAAAGTATAATTTAAAATAATGTAGAAAATAAAAATCGTTTTCATTTAGATTAATGTTCATATTCATTATCCACGTTTATGGAATTCATTACAAAATTGGCTTATTAATATTATTGCAAAAAAGCTTCAAGTTTATTTTGTTTTTGAACATAAAAACTTTTTTCAAGGTTTGAATACTTCGGCTTTCCATTGAAATTTTTCAGTCATTTTTTAAGTATATCTTTATAGCTTTAATCAATGATTGGTCATCATCATTACCACCTGATATATATTCATTTGCACCATTTATTTATGATATAACTGTACAGGGTGATCAAGTTGAAATATTAACTCCTTGTAATCAAGGAAATTGGATTGACTGTTCAGATGGAAATAATCAGCAGCTTGCAGAAAATAGTATTTAATAAAAAAATTTAGTATTTTCTTGTTTTTTTATTTCACAATATCTTTTTTTTGTTTAAGATTATGTATCATTATGTGCTAAATCACTTCGATTAACTTATCCATTATCGTTTATTGAATTTTGTGCAAAAACTACAGCAATGGACTTAACAATTGAAGTTAGCTTTTTCAGGAGAAATAAAAAGACAAAAACATAACTTTTCTTTTAGGCTAAAGATATACTTGCACGTCTTGTTATACCACGAACTAATCGAATGTATTATATCATAGAAGGACTTGATATGCATAAACAATTTCACACACCAGATGGTATTAAATCACAATTATCATTATCTGATGCATTTGATAAACGGTAATTTACTATGTATTTTGAGAGATTTTTTTTAAAAACTAGACGATACAATTGAATCGAATCATTATTCAAAAGTTAGTCTCTATCAATATATCATAGTAGATAGTCTTATCAAGATAAAGTGCAAGTAATCTAAGTAAAATTACTAAAATTTCAAGATTTTCTTGCTTATCGATGATTATTCCTTGGAAAATATTTATCCAACATGCTCCTTGGAATAATTGTGCTTTCAAATATCTTTTGCAAATAATTTTAATTTTCTTGGAAAACAGAATATAAATCAGAGAATCGCATAACAGCTAAAATATTGTTTCTCATCGTTCCATCTCATAAAAAAATGCTTTCATAGGACATCTTTTTGCAAATTTTCAAAGTACACAAATTAAACAAGTATGCTCATAAGCAAGTCGACGTCGTTCACAAAGGTTACTATTACATTTGCTCACTGTTCTCATGCATGAAGATCATACGCAACCTCCGTTTTGCTTCATATTTCTGTATCTATATATGATCCTATGGCTCTATAAAAAGTCATGGAGATGTAAGATCTTAATACCAACCATGGAAGATCGCCAACTTTTCAATCGATTTCTAGTTAAAACCTAGCGAATCATAAGTAAATGACCATGCTGATTCAGAATATTAACGTGGTTTTTGTCAGTAGACCCTCAAAAATTCGATTTTCTTGAAAACCAGCCTTCTATAGCGAAATTTTGTTATGGGTCTCTGTCTAGTTTGTAGAGCGCTTCGACTTAAGTATAAAACACTATGTTGTCTTCCAAAATTTAAGCCAATACAGATGGGACTATAAGAGTAAAAAGTTTCTGGTGCCTAAACTTGCATAAGTTTTCCATACCAATAAATATTCTTATGCCAAAAACATATTGTTGTTTCGCTCTCCTATACTCTGTCATTATATTTAAACATCTATAGTACACATTCTAACTCGTTGAATAACTTCGAATTCTGATCTTTTAAGATTCGATGATGGAACAAAAACCTCACAAAGACATTACCTTACTGGAAGTTTTTTTAGATTAAAAAGAATGTTATGACTTAAAAGAGATCGAAAAATTGAATGAAAAGTATGAAAATGAATCGAGTAACATTGGAAAACAAATCAATGATAAACAATATAGAATTTGAATGTTGAATGAAAAACGTGAGAAATATTATGAAGTAAAGCTTTTCTTTGCTTCTTTAGCCGCATCTGTAATAGTTCAAATTGTGAAAAAGTTTTTATATACTCAACACGAGCCTTTCTACGAACTAGCCGGATCACAATAATTTTTGACGAAAAAAGGGTTTTGTTATAGAACACTGACCTTCGAAACAACCGAATCTTGGAAGATCCATTGGCGAAAATCACGTTTATACTCGAAATCAACACTGTCGATTACCTGTAATCTACTAGGCTTTGACTGAAAAGCAATAGAATAGTTGAAAGCCTTCCCTCATTAGCTAAAAAAGATCAGAAAAAGACAGTTGTATATGATATCACACGATTGTTTCTAGGCGTATACAGACTGTGTATTCTTCGTTCAAGACAAATGTTAAAATCATGATTTCAAAATAAAAAAAAAATTATGATAATTACACATGTCTATAGAAACAATCATGTTCTTACTAAAAAGACAACTATATTCGTCCAATAAAGGTTTTAGCATTAGTAGGGATAGTATGGTGATGGTAAGTCGACGAATGATATCTTCACCATTGTATGCCTAAGTACTACTTTGTGGTGCATCAGAACGGTGTGATACTGTAACTTACGGATCTCTAGTACAAACTACAAGAAAAACATATCGTCTTTGCATATGACTAACAAAGAGCTGACGATGAGTAAAATCAACAGTAATTCCTCTCTCTCTCCCATGAAATTATCTGGAATAATATGTTACTAATTTTTTTTTATTTAAAGGGACAATTGCTTTGATTGCGCTGAGGCAAGTCATTTGAATATTCTTGTAAAAATTCTTCTTCATTCCTCACCACCCATTGATATGAATCGAACAGGTAAAAACAAAAAAAAACCATGAAAAAAATGTTTTTTTTGATTAAGTAATTTTTTTTTCCGTTCAGATCTTTTATATGTTCAACACGTAAGATCAATGGGTGATCGACAAACATTTCATCCAAATAAACTTGATTACGATGTATTTAATATCGAAATTGATATTGGTCCAGTTAATTTACTTCTACATGGTTTATTTTTAAAAAATTTTTGGTGGGTTAAGGTAAGTAAATAAATTAATCTTTTTAACGCTTAAATATTTTCTTTTTATTAATTTTAAAGGAAAATTTATTCGGCTGGGATCAAATGTATCATGATCTAAATGAACCAGAGTTAATACATGAAAATAAGATTACTATACCAGATGATCCAGTTGTTAACATGATTGATGAAAATCGTTCATTTGATCCACGGTATTTTCGACCATTAATGGTTACTTTACGTGTTGCACTTCATAATATAACAGCTCATTTGATTTATGTAAGACTAAGTTTTTTTCTCTTTATTAGAGATGATTCTTCTGACTTTTTTTAAGCATACCGATGATGAACCTTGTCCGATTGGTTTTTGTGAACGATTATGTGTTGAAATGACAACTAATTTAGATGAAACGAAATTACAAGTACTAATTTTGCCCGTTAATATTTATGTTGAAGATACAATTGTTGTAAGTATATTAACAAAGACTGTATATTAGGAATCTGCGAAAATAAGTCATTATGAAATATAGTTAAGAAATTTGTAATTTTAAAGAAATAGAATCTTTTTAAAGAAAAAAACTTCAATGGAGAAAAATGAATTAAACACTAATAAAAGGAGAACAAATATATCTTTGATAGATAGAAATAATTATACGCTGTAGATTACTTCAACAAAACATATGAGTAAAATCATTCATTAGCGACGTTACTCGCAAAAATTAAAACATATGTATGCTAAGTTATTCTATATAGGCTGAAAAAATTAGTCCTTTAGACCTTTCTTCAGAGAAACTATCCACAAAAAACTGACGTCAGCAACGTGATAAACAAAAAAGACATCGACTTTCACTTCATAAGTTTTAGGTTAAAAACCCTTCGAATCGAAGCAGCATTTTGAAAACTACTACATACATTCTTTAGATAACATTTTATGCTACAAAAATCTCTAAACAAAGTTTGTTTTGAGCATGCCTAGACATTTAAAAAAAAACCGATTTACTTTTCGTTAACGAGATGACGGAGCATCCTTTGGATAAACATTTTACTTATAATCTTGATAAAATAAATTTCATTTTGCTTTTTCGCACAACAGAAATCATAAATGACTATTGAATTCGAAAGGATTTAAAAAAAAGAATTATCCGTTTTTATAGAGAAATAAAACCGATCAACATTTATCTACGGGAAGTCTTCAATTATCTGGTTTAATAATTCGTGGTCATGCAATGCTTTCTCATGAAGGTTTACCACCCGAACGTGAAACTCTTGAATATGCATGGCAAATGGAAATTTTACTTGGTAAAATATCAGCTCGTGTAACAACAATTCAAGTATTTGAAAAAAAAACAAATTGATTTTCTATTAAAAATAAAGTCAAATTTTTCTCTGTTTTAATAGATTGAAAAAATACTGGCATTTTTAAAAAATTTTTATTTACAAATAATGGAAGATGAACATACATTGATACGTTCACCTGTTATGGATAAAACAAAATGGATTGAAAAACTAAAATATGATGTACTTAGATTTAGTTTAGATTCAGTTGATCTTTGTATTATTGAGGTTGGAAATGCTCTTCATGCACAGGTGAGGAAATTTGTTTCATTTAAAGAGAATTAATCTATGATAGTTAAACTAAAGATCCATGCAGAAAGGATATAATATTTCAAGAAGCGATTAAAAATATAGAAAAACTCATATATAAGAATACAGTTGATTAGGTTTTCTCCTTTTTTTTTTGTTCTCATGTAACTTACAAGAAAACATGTCCAATTGACAGGTGCTAATCGACTTCTTACTATAGTTACTAGTAGGTCTCGATGAGATTAAGATAAATTGGAGAGGTCTCTGGTCCATGGCTTACTGATAAAGAGCTACGATCGTTTTAGTGAAATTATATCAGTTCCAAGATACTAAACTCTAAAACCAATATAGGCATGATCTCTTTCATTTAAAACAAACAAAATCAGGACTCTTTTCTTTTTTCAGCACCTGCTCATTAACGTAAGAGAACACATTTTTGTCCAAGAGGCCATTACAGACCCTTCATCAATAACTTTTCGTTCTAATATATAAACGATTTCCGTATTACGTTTTTGGAAGATCAAATAAAACGATGGCGAAGAAATGTTTCCCAAAATAGATAGAATATAAGAATCTTCTTGCTATTATTTACAATAATTACATCATATTTCATATTTAAATCTTATAGAGATTATTCTAATAGTTTCTTTTTTCTGATTCTAGGTTGCACCAGTTCGTTTATGTATGTGTAATATGCATACAAGTTTATGTAACGAAAGTTTAACATTTAAAGTGGGTACTATTCAAATTCGTCAGTTACTTCGTCTTTATCCTGATTCATGGTTAGAAGCTGGTTCTATTCATATACCAGAATTACGTATGAATGCAAAATTTGATTGTCATTCTGCAACACAAATTAATACAATCGAACAAATGGAATTTCTTCGTCGACATGATCAACGAACACAAAGACTTCATTTTCTTTATAATACAAAATCTCAACAATCAACAGCAACAACTTTAAAACGACCATCAAATTTTGGTTTACCAACAACTACTAATCTTCCATCATGTGCATGTCTTGGTGGTTCATCAAATTATTATACACTCGTTCAAGGTGAACAATTTTTTAAAAGTTCATTTCGTCTTAGTGAACAAACATCATTTGGACGTTCTTTATTTCGTCCTGATCTACATGTTATACATTCACATTCTATATTTCAACATAAATATGATTGGAATACTTATCAACATTCAACTGTGTCAAATGAACAATTAACTAATGAAGAACCTTTTTATCCTTTTGATTTTTGTGCACAACAAAGTCAATTTAATCAACAAGAACTTCATAGTTCTAATCAAAATCATCTAGATTCTAATATACCTATGAATTTATATTCATTTCCACGATCAAGTTCTATATCACACACAAAACATAAATCATCAAATGAAATCAAATCTCATAAACGTTCATCATTATCAATACCATTATGTAGTAATGTTACTGATGATTCATCATCAACAACAACAAGTGATACTTATTTAACACCAACTGAATATTTATCATTAAATAATTCAAGACAAATGAGTTTAAATAATACAAATAATACTCTAGAACCATTATCATCAACTGATATACAACGTCAATTATCAACAAATTCATCATCCATACCTGCACATTTTAATTTATTAACAAAATCTTCAGATGAAGAAGAAACTGTATCAATAACATCTTCAGACTCATCATCAACAGATTCATTAGCAGCTTTCGAAGAAATACTTCAAAAACAACAACCCGAAAAATCAATACCGAAAAAAGTACATAGAAAATCGAAAAATACTAACAATTAGAGATTCATACAGAACAGAATTAAGTATTATTCTTAAGAGAAAATCAAAAACCAAATTTGTTGGAATTAGTTTAAGATCAATACAGTGAAAAGACATCTAAAGGAATATTCAAACGTGTGTTTTGTCCTTGTCGTTGCTAAGATGTTTGTAGAGCGAAGAAGCTCCAAATCTCTATCCCTATACTCTAACCATTTTTTTTAAACAATGATTCATAAAATGTTCATTTTACTAAGGTTGTTCTAGTTTATGTAAGTCAAAAAATGTGTTTACAGTTCAGTAGGAAGTGCTCGATAGAAATCCAGAGTGTTCAAATTATAGAGGTGATTATAATAGAAGTTTCTAAGATTAAACATTTAGGAATTGGACAGTACTGTTATATAGAAAGATTAAAAAAAAGATAGTAGTTTTTAAGAAGAAAAATCTATGCTTTATTTTTTAAAATGTTTTAAATGAATCTAACAGACAAAAGTTTCATTTACAATATTCGGATGAAAAGAGAAACGCTGTTCTGTTCCTGCTAAATCTGCCCTAGGGAAAGATCATTTAATCTCATTTGAATTAATTAGTATTGAAAAACGATGACAAACAAATAATGCTAAACATAAGAATTGGTGTTGATGATCTCTTTGGAATGATAATGGATTCGATTATTTAGAAATATCTTCAATATGCATTATCAAATTTTATTCGAATTCATAGTTGTTAAATGTCATCTTTGCAATTCGTTCCACTGCATATGTTTGCTGATTAGAAATAATCATTTCGTGAAATAAAACTTTGATATCAAAGAAAGAAAAGTACGCAGATCAGATAGTCTGTTTTTTCAAGCGATCTACCTCTCATAGGCAAATAGACCTAGTAGGCTAGTTACAGCTCTGCTAAGAACTCTAGTTTGTTATTAGAAGAATGTATAGATTTAAGTATCTTTACATGATTCTCTAACGGATATAGCATGTATATAATTAATTGAGTATTATTGGATTTTGTTTATGAAAAGTAAGATTCACTAGAAGGTAAAAATGCAAATATTTTTCTTCTTAGTTGTTAATTAGCATTCTGTATTGTCATTTGAAATCAATAAACTTCATTTTGGATGCACCAAAAATCGTTACGCATCTAATATTTTGAGATATATGAAATATAATCTCTAACAATGGAGAGCTTCCATCATGAATATGATTATTAAAAACCCAAAAAATAAAATAATTTATTTTCTCTCTAGAATGGTTCATCAAGTGTTGAATACAAATCATTTCCTCCACTTTCATTACGCAGTGCATCATGGATTAATTTAAGTAATCAAATGAAAATGCCTATACCAAAATCTCCACTATTATGTACAACATATATTCGTTATCTATCTCATTATCGTTCATCAACTTGGTCAAATATACCTTCATATCCTCCATTAATTCAACAAGATCAAATAAATCATCAGCCATTACTTGATTTTAATTGTGTTTCACAAGGTTTTTTATGTTCATTTTTATCTGAACCTATATCTTCAATACAATCACGTCAACAACATTCAACATTTTATCGATCACGTTCAACAGCAACACCAACAATGCTTTCATTTAATTCATCCAGTATGATTTCAACTGAAAAAGAAATATGTCTTCGATTTATTAGTTCATTAAATATACTTTTAACACCTCTTATGCTTGAATGTTTAACAACATATATTGAAAAATGGAAAACATATGATTTACATCCAATGTCTATTCTTGATGGTCTTCATTTTCAAGCTCAAACAAAATCAAATTTTCCATCAACATCAATTGATTTATCATCAACGAAAATTTCATTACAATTACCAAAAATAAATATCTGTTTATTACAAGCTGGTCTAGCAGAAGATCATGTTCAATTAACTGAATTACAAACACCAGTTGATATTGTTACAATGTCATTATTTGCTTTATCATGTAAACAAATTCAAATGGAAACAATTTTATCTAAACGTGATCAATCAACAGCTGGAATTTTTAAAATTCAATCAATAACAGGACAATTTCGTCGATTTGAAAATAATTTTTCATTAATTGAAAATGTTAATATTCATGCTATACAATCTCAACGTTGTCGTTTACAATTTCATATACCAAATGATACTCAAACACATTTACCAATTGGTAACAATAGAAGAAATATTGGTTTTGTTATGAATGAATTTGGTTTACAACGACTTTGTTTTAAATTAATTAATAATGCAGCTAAACAACAACAAGAAAGAACACATTCTATGGCAGTTATGACACAGATTAATGAAACACAAACAAGTAAATCATCAACTAAACATAAATCAAAAAGAAAACGCTCATTAGAAGTAAGTTTATAGGATCTTGTCTTCTTGTCATGATCTTTGACTAGTATCTCTCATAGTTTATGTGAAGCCCAATGTTGCTTCTCCACTTCAGCATTCCTTTTTGAATTATGTTTCACAAAAAAAAAGTTAATTTTTAATAATTACTGAATGTAGTGTTAATTGTTATTGTTATCTGTTGAATTATTCATGAGTGAAATTTCAAAATTGAATAATGCGCATTTTGATCTTTCGTAAAAATTGAAATTTCTGTTTCAATTTTTTTTTAACCAAAATTTGTTATGAGATTTTCTTGAAAATCACCGATTACATTTCTATAGACTATAATTTGAAAATCTTTGAAATCTTTAGCCATTACTTCCATCTCCTTCAACGCCTGCTCCAACAGCCATAGTTCCATCAACACCAACTTCATTATCAAGTAGTGTGTTCGATGGTTCAATTGATCATGTATGGATATCATTTCCTGAACCTCCACGTCATACACATTTAACATCAAATTTACTCAAACGATCACATGTTAGTACATTAACTACTACACAAGAAATTCCAATACAAAAAAAAAATCTTTCTTCATATACTCGTTATGATTGGAATTTTCTTTCAACATTATCATCAACTGTTCTCGGTTGGTTTTGTGTTATTGATCGTATAAAAAAACCTTGTAAAAAATTTCTTAAAAAACGTGAAAAACGTCTTGATGCTGTTTTAGCTTATTTTCTTATTGAAACAATACCAGTATCAACATTAACACAAAGTAAATTATATAAATTATTTACACCTAAAACAAAATATCTTCTTTCACATCCTGTTTGTCAACTTGTTGCGGAATTTCGGCAACGTTTTAATAAAAATACACAAGTTAATATTAATCTTCAATCAAATATAGTACCAGAAATAGAAATATTAAAACGAGGTATACGTGAATCATGTCGAGCTTGGGCTCAAACATATAAACTAGAAGCACAAACAAATATGCGTGTACGTCGAATAGTAACATCATCACCTATTAATAGTATATTATTAACAAATAATACTGGTCAAGAACAAATGACAGATGTTAGACAAACACCAACGATGGTCAATCGTTTTCAACATCTTCTTGGACATGACTCTCTTGTAGAACAACCATCAGTTAAATCAAAACAACATCAAAATGGAATAGATAATACAACGACATCGAATTCAACTATTCGAAAACGTATAGCAGTAAATAAAACTCGATCGAGTCCGAGTAATAAATATACAATGATTGAAATGAATAAGATACCATCATCAGTACCAGAACGTCGACGTACACCTAATTATTTAGGTAAAAATTTATTTTTTTATTTTTTTTTTGTATAACTCAAAAATATCATTGTAATCAACATGATTACTAATGTATTACAATAGTATTCGTTCATCTCTTGTTTAAAGTAGATATTTAAGAAGAAGAAAAAACAATTAACCTCAATAATATTAATTTTTTAATGCACAGAAAAAGGGAAAATTTTTCAACGAAGTCTATCGATAAAAATATAAGTGTAACACAACACTATTCAATATCTTGAATAGTTTCAAATTTCTGATCGTTGAGTTGCAAATCGATCGATAAACCTTGATTTGAGTTGGACTACTAATATAGTGAACGCTTGTTATCTTAGTTCATTTATAGTACTAACGAAATATTCTAGTATTCATGAAATATTTTTTTTATAATAATAATCGACTAAATTCCATGGGAAGAATTCAGTTTTTTTATCAAACCCATTCCAGCTATTTCCACTGGTGATTTCGCTCTAATATGCATGTGTAAGCATGAGTGTATATCTAAATTATTATAGCACAATCCACAGGTTATGTAAACGTAGCGTTTGATCAAGGTAAGATTTTCACATCGATAAGACAAGAGAAATTCCTGCTAATAAAATCAAATCAATCACCGTTTGCTTTAAAAAAAAACTTCATGCAAGTTCTATGCTTATTTTCATGTACATTCAAAAAACGATCCATATCAAATATGTACCTGCAATGAATATATTTGCATGATTTCTATGCTTTAAATTGAAACGACAACAATGCAATATGCATATATATTAATTTATTCATTTTTGTTTTTTTTTTGTTTGTTTATAAAAGGTGATGCTCTACGACGTTTTGAACCAACTGCTAATGTCAATAATACAGCCGGTTATAAACTATTAAATACTGATGTGAATGAATTAGATTTTGAACGAAATGCAAATAATACTCGATTAAATAATCGTAAACATAATGATTTCTATAATGGAATAACTTATTATACAGATGCTAGTTCAGTTGAAGAATTATTTAAAATATTACTTGAATATGCGGGTGTAGAATTATCAGTTACATCATCCATTGAACCATTATTTGAAAAATTAGGTCAAACTGTTTTAGCATCAGCACAAATAAAACAATTTGATGTTAAAATTTTACCAAATGAACTTATTAATGATTCTCAATTAATAGAATCAAATCCATCTGTTGAATTATCTATACTTGGTGTAACAAATTTAAATATTCATAGTGTTTGTAAACAATCACTTGAACATAATGAATTACATTCAGCTAATGTTCAAGCTGGTATACGTGTACAACGTGTTAAACAAGAATTTAATTTATCATTGTTACGTCTTGTTTATCAATTTTATACAGTTGTTGGTAATGCATTTGAATATATAAGTATGGATGAAATAGGTAAAACAGATACAAATATTTTTCAACAACAAAATGATCCATTAATAAACTATTCACGAACAACTACAATAAATGATATTGATAATTTTGCTCAAAGATCTTTTCAATTAAATACTCTTCTTATTAATAATAATGATTTAATTAGTACAGAAAGAGAATGTTGGAAAAAATTACGTGAACTTGTTGCTATATATCAAACATCAACTGATATAAAACAATTACCAACAATATCTAAACACCAAAGAAGTGTATCAGATTTATCAAATGATGATAGTTTAGAAGAAGGCAAAAATATACCATTTCAATTAATACCAACAAAGAATGTTATAACAAATGAAACACTTTTATTGTCAGCCTTTGGTTGGTTAATTATTGATGAAATAAATTATACAGCTTCATTAGGTGGTCTTAAAGTTGATGGTCGTATGGGAAAAGTTCAAGGAAGTATTTCATTATCCCAAAGACTTCGAGCTTTACAAGCAAATACAAATCATCATAATTCAAAAAAGTAAACAAAAAAAAAACTTCTATTTCACCACTGATTAAATATACTTAGAATACATACTGAAAGTAGTTGCAGTAGAAAAAAAGAAATACAAAAACTTATTTTCATAAAGTTTTTATTTCATTAAATGCTCGAAATAATCGTCCTGGTTATTTATACATTCAGTTGTATTTGTTGAATTCATTTATTGAAATTTTTTGTACTCTTCATTATTCGAAGGATTGATGAAATTAATTACAACATAATATAACTTTCTTTCAATCATTTATGGTGATGAGTCCCTTGTCGATATCATTCCTTACGTTGATCCTTTCCGAATATATATCATATATATATATGTCTTAGGTATCATCTCAGAATATTGCTGAAAATATATGTTGTCGAATTTCAGTAATATTCATTTCGATGATGTGATTTTCAGCAAAAATGCATACTGATCTTAGTTCGAGAATGATCAGATATGACAAAAACATATAGCATTGTTTAGATTATCAGATCATACAGAAAGAAAGTTTCTTTAAACTTTTTTATACGAAAATAAAATTTGTTATTTTTTTTTCTATAGTACCTTTTTTTAACTCGAATTGTTTCATATAGATATGATGGATCATTAATTGTTCAGATTGGTTCAACTTCTCTTTCTCTTAAAGAAACACTTTCAACTTCTTCAGATACTCATCTTAACAATAGTACTTCTCGTTTAAATGAAACAGCTTCTAATACATCATTATCAACTCGACAAATATCTGTACTTGATATTATTGTTGGTAAATCTCGAGCATTAACATCTCTTCAAACTCGTAGTAAGAATTTAAGATTAAGTGGTGTAACAAATATAGGTACAATTGCCATGGATGTTCCATTACGACCACAAGAAGTTCATGATTTAGTTAATCGTGCAGGTCGTTTAATAACCTCATATGTTCAAGAATTTCTTCCTGGTGATACAGAAGAATCATCTACAGTATTATCAAAAACAAACGATGAATTACAACAAATAAATACCAATGTAAACAATACAATTCAAGAAATCAATCTACCAACAACAACTGAACAAATTCCGAAAAATAAACGTTTACATATTCATCGTAAACGAAAATTATCATCACATTTACCAGTTGATATATTACAAACTCAAACAAGTATATCATCATTACCAAAGAAACCTATATTTGAAGTTCATATAATAGCACATTGTCAAGGAATGACATTTTCTACAACACTTTTATCAACACTTAAAGCTCAATATAAAATTGGTATTGTTGAAGGTGTTGCAAATCTTGGTTCAACAAAATCACGTTTTACTGCTGTTGTTCATGAACATGCATTACATTTTTTAAATAATAATAATAATAATACAAATAATTTACATCAACTTCCAACAGTTAGTTCAGATAATCATGTACGAATTGATTTTCCACAAATACGTTGTTATGGAAATTATATTATTGAACAAGAAGAACATAATCAATCAAAAGCACATTTAAATCTTCGTACAAATATTGATTTACTTAAATTAACCATAACAGCTGATTTTCTGGCACAATTAGTTTTTGTTTCAAAAGTAATTATACATGAAATAAATGAAATACTTGGTAAAGTATCAGGTGTTGATCAATTTCAATTTCAAACAGCTGAATCAAAACCTAAAGATAAAGATTTAACAATATCAGATAATAATGATAATGATTTTAATGAGGATGAAGATGAACAAGAAAAAATATCAACAACACCATTTATATATAAAATAAATATATCAATGAAAGGTTTTCAAGTTATTGGACAAACACCATCAGATACAGTTGTTAAATTTGAAAATGGTGATAAAAAAGTACCAATATCTATTAAATTAACCAATTATGATGAACAAAATTCATTATTATTATATAATAAATCATTAATTAATGCTTTATTAAATATTAAACTTAGTTTAGGACAATTATTACATACTGGAAATTTTCAAGATGCAGCTTATTTTAAAACAAAATTACTATTAAAGAATTCTTTTCAAGTAAGTTATATGAAATATCTTGAAAAGCACAAATTTTATCAAAGAATTCTACCTAATCTTAATGAAAATTTCTCTAATCGACTTCCAATCACATACTCACATAAGATTAGAAATTAGTGTTACATCGAACAGTGAAACATTAGAGACTTTGGGAAAGCCTGTCGAGTTCGAATTCAAAAATTTTGGTCCCGATGGGTTCTGGATTTCTGGCTCGAGCTATTTAAAGAAAATCTGAAGTTCGCTATTTTCCATTTCAAGTTGTACTGAATAAAATAGCTAAAAGTATACAGGACGAACTTCGACTGATCATTGTTTCATTATACTTCAATCAATATCTTTATTCTATATCCTAAATGAAATAACCGAAGAGGAAACAATGAACTTATTTTTTAATGACTGTTGAGAACCTGTTTCGCTATTTCTGTACTAATGTTCAAACTTTTCTTTTCGGTTAAGATTGAACAACAATCAATAAATTTTGTGAAAAAGTCCAAAAACTGTGCTTGTGTAAAGCGCAATAATAGTTTTGTCACAGTTTTTAATTTATATCTTGAAACAGCTTCAACTCAAAATTCTTGTATAGCACTGAATAAGATACTACAATAAGCGAAATCTCATCTATGTGTTTTTGTTAAAAAGCTACTTTCTATAAAAATCAGTATTTCTAAAAAAAATCATGGTTACAAAAACACGAAAGTTTGAAAATCTTTCATGAAAAATTAACTAGTCTGCTTTGCTTTACACAATTGCGTTTTTAAGTATTTTAAAACAATCTGGTGATAGAAGTCTAGTCTTACCTAGAAAGAAACTCTGCACAGATATCTAAAAGTAGCGAAGAATTCTCATTGTAGCTCCTATCAGCAGTCTTAAATTGGGCAAAAATGATTGAATATTTTCTGGTAAAACTTTCGTGTCATAAATTAACATTTTAAACGTTTTTCTTTTTGCTAAAGTCAAATCAAATAACTCTCTATTTTCTTTTAAGTTGGATGATCTCGAAAAAAAAGCTTATTTTCTTCGTTTAAATAAACCAAGTTTCTATTGGCAATCTGGTGCTATTGACAAAGGTAACTTTAATTAATTCTTCTTTGACATAAAGCAAAAAACAAACTTGCTTTTTTTCATTGATAGGTATTCTTTTTTGGCTAAATTATAAAAATACTTATGATTATTGGAATGAACAACGTGGTGCATTTACAACTCCAACAACTGATTCAACACATATACGTTCATTAGTTAATGTTCAACCATTACCAACAAAAAACAATGAACTTAATCTTATGTTTCAATTACATATTATAGATTTAGGTATTGCCATACCACTTCACCAAGTCGATCAACCAACAAAATTATCAACAACAACAGATCATCAATCAAATCAAATTTTAAATCAACGACAAACAACAACAACAACATTAGATGAAAGTAGTGATTTTCTTGTATTTACACTTGATCAAACGACAATATCTGCATGTTCATGTGGTGCTATTATAAGTTCCGGTTCATTTGAAGGTTTTTGTTTTCGTTTTGCAGAAAATTTTCAACAAACAAATCCAAATTGGAAACCAACACCTTCATCAACATCATCAAATGTTATTTTAAATGCATGTTGTGTACCAAGTGGACAATATTTAATGCATTCACGTGCTAAACATATTGCAAATTCAAGTAGTCCTAAATGGTTTTTAAATGTTCAATGGGATATGAAAGGTATTGATATAAACATTGATTCAGTTATAAGTAAACGTTTTTCACAATTAATACGAATAATAACTGCAACACAATTAATTGAACATGATAATCATAAAAATAATGATAATGATTTATCGAAAAATTCAAATTTAAATGATATACAAAATGCTAGTGCAATAAATATTAATGATAATAAAGATCCAATTGAAGATGATGAAAGAAGAAAAAGATTAGAATATGAATATTCTATATTAGGACAAAAAATTGCAACATTAAAGTAATATATGATTATCTTTTGATTTATAAAGCATAGTTAAAAAAAAAGAATTTTTTTACTCGGCTCTATGAAAATCTTTCATTTGAATGCAAGCGAACTGAGGCCACATTTCGAAAACTAAATAAGCCATTTCGCAGACAATTCTTGAGGATACAAAATATCGATCTAAAGAGTTTTCTAAGCATGAGTCGGTTTTTCAAAAAAAATCAATTGACTATTCTTTGGCGACATAACGGAGTACGAATATAGAAATAAAAACAGTCTCTTATAATTGAGAATTTCTCGATGATGGAAAAACAAAAATTTTTATATTTCAGAACTTGATAGGTTTCCTTGAAAACCAGTGTTTTTGGAGTCTAATCTGAAAATTTCACCATAGATTCGGCTTTGTCCCGTAGAGTCTATGCTAAAATTTTGAGATTTATTTGAAGTATAATTGAAAAGATATTCCCTAATTCATTTTTATATTAATCAGTTAATTAATTAACTCATTGGTTGATCCATTGGTTAATTAACCGGCCACTACCTAATTCTTTTATTAATTAATAGTCATCTGCAAAAGTTCACATTTTTACATATGTCTATGCTAAATGAATTTATTCAGAAAAATAATCCTTGTAACGATTTCAAAGGTGAGTATGTCAAATTTGACTAAAATGGTGCATATGTCTAAGCATTATAAGAGAATACTTGCATTCAAATAATGGACTTTCGGAGAGCTGAGCGAATCTATTTCTCTTATGACTTCTGTGTTAAAAATGTGCTTATCATTATAGACGAACTCAAGCATCAGATGAAATTTTAAAACCTGAAGAAGCTCGTTATCAATGGTTAGAAAAAGAATTATTACAATCAGTTAAAACAGAAATACAACAAAAAATGAAAAAACAATCAAATAAGGTAAAATAATATTTTCATGAGATTAAAACGAAATTAAATCAATTATTTACATTTAATTTTACATAATCTACACAAACATTTATTTGCTATTTAAGTTAACAGAAATGTGTCTAACATATACTAACAAATTCAATGCTAAACAGGATCAGCATGAAAGACATGCAAAACCTATTAAAACTATCACACATATTATTCAATCAATTTTAGTCATAGATCAAACTTTGATAGAGTAAGACATAAAGCACAATTGTGTATCTTTGTCTTGCATCATATTGAATTTCATTAATAGAATATCTAATCCTATATATCCTCAAGTATCAGTAGTTTCTCTTCTTTCATGTATCAAATGTATGAACCGTTGTCAATGATTTGTATTCTTAATGTTTCAATGAGAAATTCAATTAGAGTACAATAAAAAAAAAAAACTAAATTTTCTAGTCTGTACAGTTGCAACAACAACAAAGTCTACCAACACAAGAACAACATGAATTATTTCGACGATCAACATTATTTAGGGTTCGCCTTTATTGTTTGACAATCAATGTTGTGTTGTTATTTTTATTTTTTATTTATCTATTCCCTAACTATTACTATTATTATTATTCAACCTGCATGTTCTCTATACCGTGCACTTTGTTATAAGTGTTTTTTTAAAAGAAGATTATATGACTATAAACAGATGAATTTTATCTTTATTCACTTATTACAGATAATATTGATGCTTTTTTTATTTATTTATTCATACATTTATAGTGTATAATGCTTGTTCTAAATTATTTGTATTTATATCAAATATCGTTAAGAAAATCTTTTTTGTCAATTTAGACTTCACTTAATCGTGATCGTAATCGAACATTTCTATCAACATTAAGTGTGCCATATAATAAACAAGTACAACTATCAGATAATAATCAACCATTAAAAGTTGCCCAGTAAGTACTCTTCATTTGATTTTATTTAGTAACAAAAAAGAAAAGAAATCCTAATACATCGATTAACATTTGTGTATATCTACGAATAGTGGACGCCGTTATTCTCTTATGTATGCAACTGCACTTGCCTCGTCGTCTGGCTTAGACCGTCGACGAATGTAATGAAAATCTTTATTCTATAGAACATAGTTTGTTGCTTGCTTAACTTATCTAAAATTTATATAAAATCATATTCAACTAATGAATATTTATTTGAACATTAACATTGAGGTATATGGTAATAAGAATAAATAGATCAATGAAAGAATCTATGCATGATCTAATTCTTAAAAATTTTGGAAAAAAATTGATGTATATCATCTATTGTTTATATTCAGATCGGAGTTGGTCATGCGTCAACCACAAATAAGTCCATTATCAATTCGTGAAGAAAGTCCAGAAAATGAAACATCATCTACGCCAAGTCTTACTATGCGGTAAGAAATTTAATCATAATTTTCATAAACTAAATCTTTATATATTATTCTTCTAGAGAGAAAAATCCATTTGAGACTATATTCTATAGGTATTCTTAAAAATAATGAATATAATCTATTGATTGGGAATAGAATAACCTTGTCCCCTTAACTGCTTTTAACATACATGAAAAATAAATATTTAATAAAGTATGATTACTCGTTTTTTTGTTTGTCATTTTTAGTGTTTCATCTCAGGAACATGATGATAATCAATTAAGTCCTTCATCTACAATAAGTAATCCAAATGAAATAACATCAACTCCAGCAGTTGATTTAGAATTAAATTTACAAATTCAAATAGCTAGTGGTTCTTGTAATCTTTATACACGTAATGATCTTATTTCTCATACACCATTAACATCAAATTTAACTAAACAACAAAAACAAGCAGCACTAGTGTTAATTCAAACAATAAATAAAATTGAATATCAAATATCACAATTTTCTTTACCAGGTGTCGATGTCGATGCACATTATAATACAAAACATAATAATAAAACAAATAATTCATTAAATAAACGAGCTAGTTTTTATTGTCGTGCTATGATACAATCACCAACAACACCAATTATGGTTCATCCAATATTACTTGATTTTATTGAACAAACACTTGAATATGTGAAATTGCCACATGAACAACAAAGACGAACAAATGTACGACAAGAACAAACACATGATCAAAGTTCAGATGATAATCATTTAGATAATATGTAAGTGAAATCAATAAACAAAATAGAACGTTTTAATCAATAAGAATAATTCAATAATCTATTTCAAATAATGTCATGCTTCGATTAACTACAAATAACGCTTATTGTTGCGACTCGTTCAATCCTCGACTGAATACTCAACTCTTTCTATATAACATAGTACTATGATAGCTCAATCGATCCTATATCAAATCCATGCATAAGAATGGGTGTGAGTATGGATGTTAATGTACGTATGAGTATCAGTGTCCATGAGGTTCTTGTCTTCACCTATGGAACCAATCATACTTATAACCATACAATCCACACTCATACCCACACCCAGTCATGCCCATATTATAGACTTTAGTACCTGGGATTAAATACTGAATATTTGTCAATCTTGTTAGTCATTTAATCCAATGCTTATAATCAAGTCAGAATAATGAAGTTAAAGAAGATATAAACGCCAAGTCCTTTTGAAAACTTCGAATCCACAACTATCAAAAACAAACAAATGTTGAGGAAATACTGCGAAGGATTTTATTCTGACCGGACCCCTGGAAGTGTTTTTGCAATTAGTTGGTATTGCATGTCTGTAATATTACAACAATAACGCCTTTTATGTTATTTCTATGAGACACATCTTTTTATGACTTCGTACACAATAAAATGCTCCATTTTTTGTAAGAAAGCCCCATCCGAATCCATGAAAACTAGAGAAGATACGAAGAAAATATGGAAATACTCATTTTTTCATGGGTCAATTTTAGATCAGCGAGCCCTAAAAACTAACAGAAATGCATTTTCAAAAAGCGGTTCCGTAGGAATAAACCCAGACCAACAATGTGCATAGTTAGCAGCTGTGATGCAACCACACATCCATGCCCACATTGCTATGCTTATTCACGCTTCCCGACAGTCGCATTCACACCTTCATTGGCTGAACTTCCAAGATTCAGAAACTTGATAGATTCATAGCTACATCGCGAACGACTCTGAGTGATTGAACAATATATGTATAACGTCTCAAAGTTACTGAGTCAGAGACCTGCAAAAAGCTCATTGGTTGATCTTAATCAAAGAATCAGAGCTCAGTAAAGTATATCAGCATGTGAAAGCTCAACCTTTCGAGATAGAGAGTTGTGTTCTAAGGCACACAGACTGTAAAATTGAAACATCCATTTTCTGACTATCTATCGGTGGAGCTTTGCACCCTAAGTGTGAAATTTTAATTCCATTTGTAATTCATTTCTTAGCGATATCTGTTTTTAATCTCTCTTTGTCGCGACAATATGTCACATATATATATAGTGATAATATAGAACAATCCCATAGATTATGAAGAAGAAAGAGAGATTCGTAAACCAAAGCTAAACTTAGAAGATCAAAGGTAGGGCGGACACGTCCATCGTGTATACGTATAAGTGAAAGGAAAAATGCCATCACATATACGAATCTGACTGGAAAGAAAAAATATATGATGCACGACTAACAACACGAGAAGAGAAGAAAAACTCAAGTGCATTTGTATGATCATAAACAGGAAAACTGCATATGGCTACATCTGCAGAAGGTTTAGCTTCTAACACGAAGTTCCATTTCTACTGGTGCATGATCCCACTAAAGCATTTTTAGGGCTGTATAGCTATGATTCAAACCGTCGTCTCAAACTACCCTAGTAGAGGAAGACGAAAAAGAATAACTTGTCTTCCAGTTGCTTTGCAATAAAGGATAGTCTTAAGACAGTTTCGAAGATCCGATATGTTCCCTACAACTATTATTAGCTATAGATCTAGATAGAAAGCCGACCTGGCTCAGAGTTCCTACCGTTTAATTATTTAAGCTCGCCGTGCATGTTGGCTAACCACATAGTAGCTACAAGGGTTTTTGTGTGTGTGCCAATTACGTAGTTAGAGTCCTGTCACATATCCAGAGATATCTGGGATGTTGGAGAAGTGTAGGAAGATGCGAGCGGTACCAAACTATCTACTTGTAGATGATTACATTATGTGTGTTTTCATGTGGGTTCATATTTTCTCCCGCACCCACACTCGTGAGATGTCGTTGTATGTGCCCATATGTGCCCGTATTTTCTCCTTTATCGTCGCTGTAGAGATATGTTTAGAAATACCGAATCTCTTGGAGAGATGTGCTCGGAGATGCGATATCTTCTACGGTACGTGGATCTCCCACTTGGATCTCAGGCTAAAAATAAATTAAAACATTTTCAGTCGGAGATACGCTATCTCCTAGAGAGGGGCCACATCTCCAAGCACGTCTTCCCAGGAGATTCGGCATCTATCGAGAAGACTCTGTATCTAAAGAAGATGCAGCATCTCTCTCATTTTCCTGCGTTTGCTCAGCATTCCCAATCTCCTTAGTGTATGACACTTTTACGTAGTCGGTGAACCACCGAATGGCAAACTACCCTACAGAGGGTATCTCTCCAAAACATTAATTTCTGTTAGCTCCTGATCTATCAATGTACTTTGGAGGGAAATGAGGTTCGGTTTTGGGTTCCTCCCTTTAAAAACCAATATTTTAGTATCACAGAACATTGAACAATCGCTTCTCTAACTGAGAAATGTGATTTCGATTCTCCATCAATCAGACTGTAGGCAAACCGATCAAAAATATCCATTCTTCCATCAATCTTTTCGGGATTGAGAACGACTTTATGTCACTGTTTAACAATGTGAAGCATAGAAATATGCTTTTGCTTATATTTATACAGAATAAATAGTTAAATATAGAGAAGAGACTTGACACAAATAGCAGTACCTATAAAGTTCAGTAGTTCAGTGAGTTGATGTAGCAAATTGGAACTGAAAGCCATACTGAATACCCAAACCCAAACTCTAAAACGGTTTGAGTTTGGTGCATGCCTAAGTACAGCAAAAACAACATGTTAAAAACTAGCTGGTTTTGAAATAGTACTGTGTTTGTCATTCGATTCTTATTCAGTCGAACGGTCTCACATCACTGCTTGTAATTTCGAGCGAGCTTTCATAAATGTGGAAACCTTTGAAAATCGCTGTAATTTAAAATTATCTATGAAATATTACAATGCTTGTATTCTTGTAAAAATAAGATTTGAAAGTTTCGGATTCTAACATTTAATATATATAAATATTACCTATCTGTATTGATCTTTATATACTACTTCCATACTATTCTATAACAATTGAAGAAAGTCTACAAGACTGGTAGCGAAATTTCAGCAAACTTTCGCCGATAATGGACGAAAACCTTGTAGTCAAAGAAGAGGCTTCTTGTACATTCATATGTCGTGATAGCTATGACTTTGAGTCAAAATTATTTATAAATAAAAGTTTTCCATATGTTATTCAATATGATTTTTACGATTAAATTGAACATGTCGATTTATTTTTAAAAATAGATTTTTACTCGAAGATCAAACATCACCAACTTCATTCCCTATTGATATTGTTGTTAGTATATTTATTCAACCATGTATACTTCTATTTACATGTTTACCAACACATCCAATGGAATGTGAACTTCGTTTACCTGCTGTTGATGTTGTTTTTTCATCGAAACGTACATTATCAGATAATATATCATCATTAAAAGATGAAAATTTATCAAAAGACATATTAGAAAAGTCTCTTGTTGGTTTAAATTTTTCATTATATATGAAAGATTTTAAATTAAATGTTTATCATCCATTTTCTGGTGTACCTAAAATACAATTAGTTGAAGATATTCATTCAGGACAATTACAAACACGTAATGCATTAGCTGTTAGTGTACAATCTGTTTCAATAAATGTTGCTCGTACACGTTATATATTAACTGATCCTAATAATGAATATTTAAATAATATACAATTATCGATTATTGCACAAATATCAAAAGCACAATTTGAATATGATATAAGACGTTTTTCAGAAGTTTTAACATTTCCTAAAATTTGGTATAATCGATCATTAGCTCGTCGTCTTTTCTTAGGAGATGAAAATTTATCAACAAGAGTTCCATCATCAAATAAAATAACAGAAACAATAACAGCAACAACAACAAATAAAATATTACGTAAACAAGCACGTGTTATTTTAGCTGTACAATTAAAAGAATTACATATATCCATGCGTATGTCAAATGTTATGGGAAAAGTTGAATGGAATACAACGGATGTTTATTCAACAGGAAGTTTAACATTAACAAGTGAAGGAAAACGAACATTTTCTCTTTCAGTTGGTTTACAAAATTCTATATTTCAAGCTGAACAAGGTATTATTGGAGGTATTATAAAATTAAAAAATCTTCGAACAACAGGTAATGATGAATTTAAATTAATTACATTTTTCGATTTAAGGTTATTGTCCTCTTCTCTTTTTGACCATTTAATATTTTCGAAGAGGTTACAAATAAGCAGCTGGCAATTTTTATTACAGATAGAGCATCTGAAATAAGAAGACATATATTCGAGGAAAAAAGAATATTCAAAAAGACTTCTTGGAAAATTCTAGTTTTATATAGTCATTGTTCATGAATTCTAATTATATTGAATTCGATATAAAAAAAAAATGAATATTTGTTTCAGGTCTTATTCGTCAAGAATTTCGTGACCGAACATATCTAGTTGATGCTTCTCATGTCATTAATATTCTTACTGATGCAATTGAAATTCGTCTTGATTATATGGGTTCTCCAACATTAATGGGTCGTATATGTCATATATTACTTCGATTAAATGATGATCGTCATACAACAACAATAGATAGAAGTTCAATGCCTCCAGCAACATTAGTTGTACTTAATCTTAGTTGGTCACAATTACATTTAATGTTAACACGTTCAACAACACCTGATATAATGAAAATGGCTATGAAATTAACTGAATTTGTTAATGCACAAATAGCTAATTCAAAACATTTATTATCATCAATTCAATATGATTTTCGTGATGATACAAAACGTAAAAAAGTTGAAATGAATATTAATACACAAAAATCTTCTAATTTACAATCAAAATATAATATAGATATTATTAAAAAACAGATTGGAATGAATGGTGGTGAAATTATGTTACAAGGTCATAATTTAACTATTATTACTTTTCATGGATTAAATTTTAAATCACGTCAATGGGCTTTATTTTCACTTAATGAACCACAAATCGTTTTTGTTACTGATCATGGAGAACAAGGCGATAGTATGTTATTGATTTCCTATGACGATTACTTAATATTGAAATGTTTGTTTTCTTTTTTTGTCTTTTTAGTTAATCAAAAATTATTTTTTTATTTGGATCATCAAAGTCAAACAACACATTCAAGTTTAAAATCTCGTACAAATATGGCTTCAATATCTAAAGTAACACGAAATAGTACTGAAGCACCATCACATTTAACAATAAATGAATGGTTTAATTATGCAAGTTCAGCTATATCAGCTGTTGGTAAGTTATGAAAGAAAACTCTTTTCATAATATATACATATATATATATAATTGATATATTTAAGGTTTACGTGATTTTCCAACAATGGATGAACCTGAGACAACAGTATCAAAGAGTTCAGTACGTTCAAGACAATATGAACAAAATGCTGAATCAATATTTATTCTTCCGGCTCTTGAATTACGTTTTCAATCACGACAATTACATGGTAAAAATAAATAATTTCTGATATAAATATTAAACCTAGATTTTTCTTATTTTAAAGGACAAGTGCATTGTAGTTTTGAAACTGAATTTTATGAACATATTATGTTTACATTTAATGCTGAACACTTTTATTTTCTACATGATCTTATATCTTCATATATCAAAGAAAAAGAACGAAGTAAAAACAAAGAAGAAAGTCTACTTTAAAAACAAGAGAGAGAATCGATAATTAATAAAATCGACTATCTATAGATATTATGATTTCTTCTATGTCAAACTTTTTTTTCGAGGTGTTATAAAGTGAGCCCTAGTGGAATTAGACCTATAATATTTGTTTATGCTATGTCTAGGTCGAGTGAAATAGTCAATGACTGTTGAAGGTAATCACCTCTTTTTATCTATCAATTTGTAGACATAGTAGACTAGTATTCGTATGGCTCGATAGCACTTTTTAATAGCTTCAAAGTGATATAAAAATATCGAGGTGAAAACACTAGTCACGCAAAGCAATCCGTAGAAGACTACTTTCGGGACAATATATCGAGCCTTGTTTTACTGGTGCTCAGTAGATTTCGATTAAAAAATACGATTTGAACAATAACTAATTTGGTATTCCGAATCAACAACCAAAACTGAGTAGACTTACGTGTATTACAAAAAACTTCACACTTTTTTCGTCGAAAACTTACCTCTGATCCCTCTCAGAGTTGGGCCAATAAATGAATTTCATCGAAAAGTTATTTGAATATTGGTAATCAAGCTCTAAGGTTATGAAACGATAATAGAATTTCAAATAGCAGTTAAATAAACAATAAAAATAGAGCTTTCATGAAATTCATTTTTTGATCCTAACCGCAGGGGAATCATGAGGTGAGTTTTTCGACGAAAACAAACGGTTGCGAAAAATTTTTAAATACATGTAGGTCCACTTATTTTTAGATACTGATTTAGAATATCAGATTGTATTATTTTGTCCAAATCGTAATTTTCTTATCAAAATCTACTCAATATTAGTAAAAAAAGAAAAGGCTCGAAACCTTGTCTCGAGAACAGTATTCTTAGAATTTGCTGGAGTAGCGAACTTTTTTAATACCATTTTGAAGCACTTGAAAAGTACTATAAGGTAATTTATGAAATAAACGGATAAAAAGTGCTGATTTTCGTTAACAATCGGATTCTATGTACATGTGACAGTTATTGACTATTTCAACTGACGTGCACACAGCTATATCACTAATTCTACCAGAACTCACTTTCGGATATACTGTGTAGTAGTTTGACATAGAAGAAATCATATGTCTCAAGGGGATCATTTTGAGCAGTTATCAAGTTTCCTCCTTCTCATGTTTTTTTTTCTAGTTTTAACAGCCGTAATAAATGATAAATCTCGACAACGATCACTTGAATCATCAATTACTTCCACTGATAGTCAAACACTTCCACCATTAGATAATGCACGAAGTGATGATACACGTCGTTTTACTTGTCCCGATGCTAAATGGAAATTACAACCAGCAATTAAACTTCTAACGGCATATGGGAATGAAGTTGAACCATTTGGTGCTGATTATGTTTTACAAAAATTAGGTTTTCGTCATGCACGTTTGACTATTCCAAAATGGGTACAACGTGGAATTATGGATCCATGTGAACAATCAATGACTATTGTACAATTAATTCTTATTTATCTTTTACCTGAACGTTTTAAAGAAATGTGCATGAAATAGTGATAATTGATTTATTTTATTCAAGCTTATCAAAGCATTTTTTATGCGTTTTTCATTTTGCTGTTGTTCTTTTCTAGTCGTTTTTTTTTTTCATTGCTTCAAAATTTAGTTTGCGTTTATTTAAGGGGGTTTATCACTTTGTATAGCATTCAAGAAATTTTTATATTTTCTTTTTCTAATTTATTAATAATTATTTTTATACTTGATGTGAGAAATATACATACATACATACATACATACATATATATCAGGTGTGTGTTCATACTTTTTTCCCTGTGTGATAAGAAATGAATATAGTGCTCATTCTTATTAACATATATCGAATAAAATACATATCATATCTATGAATAATTTATCAGTTATTTTATTGAAATATGAGCAATATATCTTTAAATAGATTTCTATGAAATATATTATGTTATTAATGAATGGATTCAATAATGTTTTATTCAAAGTCCAATATAAAAAAAAGAATTGAACTCAACATCTACCGGTATTTTGTGAAACACGATCTAAAAGAAACGTTGAAGCATAAGAGTACAAATTGAGATCTACCCTCCTTCTCTACAGTCTATGACATAATAAGTTCTCACTGGTTGTAAACTATATCAATAAACTGCACAGAACAATATTTGCTTTTGACAACGAAACGGAAAATGATCCAATAAATCGTTTGGTTTAAAAAGACATTGAAAAGAAAACTGAAAAACAACCCAAACTAATTAGGTTTGTATTTTTGGATTGACTATAGCACGTAGTCTAACAACGCTCCCAAAGTTTCTTTTTTGACATTCTATAATATCATTCTTTGAGTTCAATTTTACGAAAAAAATGTTGTATCTAATAGTTCAGTAGATAAAGGCATTTTTCTTCATCTAGGCAAAAACAACCTACAACCATTATCGGTAGTAACAAACGTAGACATGAAAACATCAGATACCGTATGTTAATGAAGCCTCGTTATCAAAGATTTGCATCACACGTTCAAAATGAAACTGAGACTGGCACCGTCTAAAGTCTTCTAGGTTGGCAGCGTAATCGCTGTGCATCCTCATTCGATAAAACACGAAGCAACTGTTTCTTTATATTTGTTGCTATATATTATTTCTTGAAAAATAGTACTTCATTTCTGAACATTTACCTAAGAACAGCAACATAATAGTGAGTATCAGGACATGATATTTTATTAGGCAAAATAGAATCGGAGGTATATACATGTATATACTTATAGGTTTTCGTTTTCGTCATTCGCCAAATCTTCAAGTAGGTCGAGTTGTTATCAATATAATTGGGAATCAACATTGTCTATGGTTTAATTTATAAATTTAATAAATTTTTTCAGCGTTCGATGTACAGTCCGTGCTAAAAGTTCCTAACAATAGAGCGTAATAGCTGATATGATTAAGGCGCAGTCGTCTAAAAATGAGTTATACATACTATCAAGGGGCTCGGTCGATGCACATCTCTGCTAGTAATAATATATGATCTACTTTCTTTTTGAATTTTTGGAAGATTAAATAAAAGAATGATCAAGAGATATTTCACAAAATAGATAGAGTAATTTTTCTTTGATTAGAAACAAAAAGTTACATTGTGTTTCATATTTTAATTCTGTAGAGACTACGCTGACTGTTTTTTTTTCTCAGTATGTATTAAATTAAAACGAGCTTAAATCTGAAATCTCGATATTATGAAGATAAATCTATGATTGATAGATTCCTGGGTGAATATTTGTACATCTTGACAGTTGATTATTAATATAGAAACGTTAAGAAATGAAATATTTCGTAAATATTTTCTCTCAAAATAATATCAGTTGAAATTTAGATATTTAATAAACCAAAAAAAAAAAATTAATAAAAGACAACTGTTATCTTATTATTTTTACGGAAGTTTTCATTTTATACTTCAAATTCTTAATAAATATAATGTCAAAGTCGATCTTTCGGTAGATGTCTCTGTAGACCAAGTTTATAGCGCTATTGAGAACATCTATAATGGTCAAATACGAGAAAAATAAAAATAAAATGGCGTCTAACAACCAATAAATCATTCTCAAGAAGAAAAAATAAAATAAAAACGTGATTGATTCGAAGGATATTAATATTATTCTCAATTTTTTTTTCGTTGTCAAATATTTCAATTAAAAATTTCAGTTATATTATGCCGTTCTCATTAACAAGTGATGGACGTTTATTAACTAGTTTATTTAATTCACCTGAGCAAAGTAAAAAAAAAGAAAGAAAACAAATTCTTTTAATATTTATAGTGTAATTTTAAATAAAATTTAGATTCAGAAAATTTACTTGTTGAAAAACAAAATTTATTATGTATATTTAAATTAGTTATAAAAGATTTATTAAATTCAAGTTTACGACATGAACGTTTATTGGAAAAAGAATATTTTCCATTGAAACATTTTTTTATTGTTTTCGAACAAATTTTATTACATGGTTATACAGGTAAAAAATCCTTTCCAATATCATCATCATCAAATCGTAAAGATCTTTGGCCATTGATTGAACTTATTGCACGTAAATCACCTGATGCTAATGTTATTGAAATTTCTTTATCATCAAGAGAAATGACAAATATTCGAACATCATTAGGACGTGTACGAGCATGGTTACGTCTTGCATTAATGCAAAAACGTTTAGCTGATTATTTTAAAATTCTTGTTGAACAAAAACAAGATTTAAAAGAATTCTATGATAATGAAGCATTATTATTATCAGATGAAATATCAATTATAACGGGTTTACTTGTTGGTCTTAATGTATTAGATTTAAATTTTTGTTTAAAAGAAGCTGCACTTGATTATCCGAGTGACACAACTATTCATTATAGTTTATATTTACGTGAAAGACGTATACCATCACAAACAGTATCAAATAATATTCATTCACCTGGTTCAATTGATGATCGTATTGATGAATTAGATGATTATTCATCATTATCATCATCACCAATAATAGTACGAACAAGTACACAAAATTCTGATACGGTTATTTTATCAAATCCTAATGATATTATTACATTTGATGATCAGCGAATATCAAATATACTTGACCAAAAAAATTATATTGAAGAACTTCATCGAAATTTACAGTAAATTGAATATTCAATTGTTAGACGATCTTCAATGCCATATTTTTCTTATGAGTAGGACTTATGAGAGAATATTTTTAAATTTCAAATCGCTTTTCGGTCGAGACAATGTTTATTTGATAAATAATAGTGAGTTATAAAAAATGTCTAGAATTGTTTGGTTTTCTAGGCCTTTGGTTTTGAGATATCGAAATATTATTGGATTTTTATATAAAAGGCTGTCGTCTCTTTCAGATAACGTAAAATCATTGGGAAAATTGTAAATTTTCTAGTATTTGCTATTCTGAAAATATGAAATATTCGAAATTTTCTAACTTACTAAAACGTTCATAACTCCGAATGCATGGAACTGAGTGCATGGTTTTTTTTCAGTGTCATTGAGTCCTACTCATAGCGAAAATATGAAGTTAAATAGTGTCCGACAGTTGAACATGTTCTTTCATAATTTTTAAAATTATTTTCTTTGCTTTCAATAATAGAAAAACCGTTGTCAATTTACAAAAACGTTTACAAACATTTGAACAAACAAATAAATCATTGTTAGAAGATACAACTGTACAAAAAATACGAATTGGACAATTGGAAGAAGATCTGAAAAAAGCAAAAACAGAAAAAGAACAGATACAATTATTTTATCAATCCAAAATTGAAGTAAAGTATTTTGAACATACTTAATAACAAAAAAAGAAACTATTTCAGTTATTAATTGACTCTTCTTGAATTTGAAAATACATCAAGACAATTTAGAATATTGTTATTTAAATTTTCAATATTCAGTTTTCATAGCTAACAGTCTATGACCAAAAATTTTCTTTGTTTAAATTAGATACTCAAGTCATGTCTTGATTATTTCGGTGAAAGATTTGTTTGTTGAATTGTGGATAGACACTAAGAGCAGATTAAACAAAAAATGTTGCTCGTCTTTTTTGTACATATTTCTGTTATCAATTCAGATAATCTGTAAAAATGAACCTTTCTTCTATTTTTTTGGCGATTTTATAATTAAAATATAACTGATCACAAAAATAATGATGATCTTAAATTATTATTAAAATTTTATATCTATCGTTGAAGTTTACGTTTACTTTTCGGTCGTTAGTCTTTATAAAGCTATATTTTTTTCCACAAATAGAATAAAGTCGATCGTTATACAATTATTATCTGTTTACAATTAACAATTCGAATCTAATTTTTTTCAAGGTCAATTGTAAGAATACAATGTTTTCAATTTTTATTGAGATCGCTCGATATTTTTGAATGAACTCTTATGAAGACATATGAACTAGAGAATGATTTTTGTATATTGGATTATCCCTCTTTAACTAATGAATGATCCTCACGATTCTATCAAAGCATTTTTTTGCGCGTTTTTTCTTTTCCAAATAAATTCAGTTCGTATCTCAAAAATTTCAACCGAATTCATATGACTTTTTTGAATTTCCTATAATTAATGAATGCGTATTTTTCATATTATGTCGTCTTAATGTTTTAAATCCTTGTATGTACATACCGAAGTGTAAAGCCATGCTATGAATCTGATCTGAGAGGGTTGTAATCAATGATTTTCAATGAGCTTTTTAAAACTTTTCTTATTGTGTTATCCAGGCGTTCAACAGATGGGTTTACATTTCTATGTACATGTTGTGGTCTAAATTAGACTTCAGTTCAATTTTTAATTTGCTTGATCATAAATCTAAATCTAATTTTGAACAGATGAAAATAAAACATGAAGCAGAGAACTTGAAGAAAGACATCGATGAGTAAAGCATGAGATAGGTCAAGCGAAAATGTCATGTGACTTTTTTAAAATTTTCTCATCATTTTGACCTTTCTCATTATCACATACATATGAACACGATAGTCTCGATATCAAACCTTTATCAAATCAGAAC